ATCCAGGCAGTGACTTCCCTTCCCTTCCAGGTCCTTTTTCATTCCTCCCTGACTGACTCTTACCTGACTGACATTTTTTCAGTTGCTGCTTCTGCCCAACAAAATCCAGCCAAGTACCTCAGCCAATTTCCTCATGATTCAAACACATTTTCCCAACACAGTTAATATCTCTGGATGCATTGCTGGGCAGCCATGAAGTTGAGGAGCTCCTAATCCTGCCTTCTGTCCAAGTGCTGACCTGGGTCAGTCAGCCTGGGTGCTGTGAAAGCTGCCTGGGAGAGTGGAGGGCAGACAAATTGTCTAAAAGAACCATTAAAGACAGCTCCTTCAATATGGGATGGCGGTGCATTGACAGGGTGGTGGCAAGGAAGCATATGTTAGGTGTTACTGTTCTGTTCTGTGGTTGGTGTGCTTGTCATCAAGTTCTGTTTTATCTTAACTTTCCTGAGATGCCAGTAGGCAATAATATCCAACTTCTTTGCTGTCACTGCATTCACACCTACACCAACTTCACTGCCACCCTAAACCACCACATTCTCAATTAAAATATGTTTCTGTAAGAGCTCAGTGATTAAAAAAAAAAGTATCTTCCCTAAAAATGAGATATCATAGCTAATTTCTAACATCAAATGAAATTTTCATTTTGGTGGGTACATAAGCATAAAAAGAAAGCAAAATTCATGTTTGGTCTTGTGTGAATACTTCCTTATTCAGAACTGTTATGGTCTCTCTGATAAGCAGAGAGAGTGCAGGCAATTAAAACAAATTTTATAAATATACTTGCAATTGAAACATGTATTGTCATCACAATCTCATTGATGCATTATGTGCATAAATTGGGGCAAACTCCTTGCTGGCTTGTACTGGGAATTTTGAGATTTGCAGATGGTGTGAATCACCAGAGACTGCAAGCAGTATTTTTATAGAACTTCAGTTTTATTAGGTGGAAAACACACACAAGTACACTTCTCTCACCAGGAAAAAGCATGGCTAGGGCAGAGGCAGAACAAACTTCCTGCAGTGATTTGCAATGTGGATTCACAGGGAAAATTCCCCAAGACAGAAGGTAATGCAATATCCATTGTCCATTCAATTCCTGGCCTGTTTCTGCAGTAATTATAAAAAATATTGCTAAACATGATGCACTTTTTCTTTTCCTCATAGGGCTTTGCAAGTCAACAGATAACTTGGTGTTTTGGGTTTTTTTCCTTCAAGTTCTTAAATAAATGTCAGATGGTCCTTATTCTCTATCTATGAAGCTGTGTACAACATTAATGTTTACTAATAGAAATAAATCTCTCCATTTTGTGAGAACCAGTCTCTAGTTTTCATGTTTCCATTTGGAAACATGTGTCCAAATTCTGTTCAGCTTTGTGTCCAGGGGCTGGTCATTTTACTTTGGAACAGTGTTTTTATTGTGTGGCCTTTGCAGAGATTGGGTTGCTGATGTCCATGCATGTGCATGATTTGATTGCCACCCTCCATCAAATTAGATTGGATAGCTGAAAGATAATGAATGTTTTATAAAATACATTCATTTACAGGGGTGAAATGATGTCATTTCTTATGAAGTGCCCTGCCTGGGATATCTTTTATTGTCCCAAGGTGAGATGAGATGAACTCATGGTGATGGTGATCAGCTCAGGATGCTGTGAGTGTGGCAGGTTCTGAGGTGAAACAGCCCCTGAGCATGTCCAGGTGCTCTCCTGGAGCACTCAGCAGCTCTGCTCAGTGGATGTGTGGGAATCGGGATTATTGGATTTGTGGGGTGCCCCATGGCAGGAAGGAATGATGAATCTGACTCCATGTTCTCAGAGGGCTAATTTATTATTTTATGATACTATATTATATTAAAGAATACAGAAAGGATACTTACAGAATGCTAAAAAGATAATAATGAAAACTCGTGACTCTTTCCAGAGCCCCGACACAGCTTGGCCCCAATTGGCCAAAAAGTCAAAACAATTCACAGAAAACCAGTGAAACAATCACCTGTGGGTAAACAATCTCCAAACACATTCCAAAAAAGCAAAACACAGGAGAAGCAAATCAGATAATTATTGTTTTCCTTCTTCTCTGAGGCTTCTCAGCTTCCCTGGGCAAAGGGATTTTTCAGAAAGTGTGACTGTGACACAGGATGAACTGCATCCAGCTCAAAAGGGAGCAGGCACGAGGTTGTTCCTCTGGCTGTGGTCAGAGCACTGCAGTTCCCCTGAGAGCACTGTGAAATACTTCATGGAGACAAGTACTTGGTTATTTGGGGTTTGGGTGGGAAAATGGCAGCTCCAGCCACTCAACGCCCCAGGCCATTAAACTGCCACAGAATGAGACTTATAATTGAAAGAGGAAGATGTTTCCTAATTAATTATGGAAGCTCTGCTGCAGCACAGCCCAGCTGTATTTTCAGTAATATAATAGAATTTGTTGCACAATTACTCAGTGTGTTGTGAGCAACTGCTAATCTTAAGAAGCTACACTTTTACTCAGTTGTGGTTTTAGATTTAGGACAAACCACACTGTAAGATCTAAAAACAATGAAAAAAACCCCAACACACTCCATTCTCAATAACAAAACAGAAGAAAACCATGCCCCCAAAATGCTTTAGGAGTTTCTTTATATTTCTCTAATTCTGACCCTGCCTATGCTTTGTATTTTTTCACTGTAACTGAGAAATAGGAAATAGGAATGTGCTTTTTCATAAATTAAAATAGGCATTTTCATGTCATCACCAGACTATTTCTGGAGATTTAACAAAATATAAAAATGTTATGGAACTTTTTTAAAAATAAATTGAGGAGGATTTATTTTTGTCAGCCTCCTTCCAGAGAGACACTGAAACTTTCATTGAAGAAACATTCCTCCAGTCATGTGTGCTTGGAAGCAGACCTCAGTCGCTTTCAGGTGTAGCAGGAATGTCTCTTAACGTTGTCATAACTTGCAGGCTCATCTCAAAAGGTTTGTCTGTGAGACTGTTGCATTTACACTTACTGGTTCTGTGAAAACCATGTGCTAAAATATCTCTCAGATGTGTTTCAGTGCACTTACTTACAATGCAAGCATAACATAAATTATGTGCCAGCAAATAAAGAGTGGGGGTTTGGCTGCAGAGCTGGGAATGTTGGTGAAGTTAAAAAAAAAAAAAAGCAGGAAAAAAAAGAAAAATATAAGTAAACATAAATGTGCAGTATATTTGAGGCTAACCTCTTTTCCATCCTTCCCCCTTTCTGTCAGTGCTGATGCTGATATCCAGTTGCAGAGACACCCAGTTCTAGGTGTGTCTGACTCACCTGCTCACAGGTAACCCTCTTAGCAGTTGCTCCAGGTGGAGGATATGAAGACCTGTCCAAGAAATATTAAATACAGAGGTGTCAGGAGCCTTATTCTTCACAAATGTACTGCAAGCCCCTCACAGCTTCTCTCAGTTGTTCTTTTACCATTGTAGATCTAATTCCTAACTTGGAAAGATACTGCATCCGTAGGGAGAAATGCTTCACTTGTAATCACATTTTATAGTTCCCTTTGTGGTTTATTCTGCCACTTTGACTTGTCATAGTTGAATAAATTGAATTCTGTGGAGTGCTCTTGTAAAATGCCACACTTTTGATTTTTAAATGAGATGTGTTTCAGTAGGATGAGTGCAGCATTAGAGCAGGATGTGGAGAGGTGCTGAAATTCATGGATTGTAGCTCTGGGTTTTATTCTCCAGCGTCTCACCATATTATTGTGATTCAAGAACAGGCCATTTTCAGGTTTTCTGCTCCTGCCTTCCATCTCTGTTACATGAATGTGTTTTGGCTATGCAGCAGGTCTGTGCTGACACCCAGTTGGCTCCTTTCTGAACAGCCAGCCTGCAGGCACGCTGCTACACATCAAGGAATGGCTGTTGCACTCATCTGCTAATTACCAGACCTGCTGCCTTGTACTTCCATCATCTTTTATTAAGAACAGACACTTTAGGCTGTAAAGTGTCTAAAAAGGAATCAGTGTTTTAACATCTGTTTATGTGGTGCCTGTCAGGGATCTTTCCTTCCTTGGGTGAAGCAAGACAAAAGCAGCAGAAAAGGTATTACTAGAATGCAAACACCAAGTTAAGAATGTGCTTTGAGATTTTTGAATGAAGTGTGCTGAGGATTATTACAGCTATTTTCTTTCCAAGAAAAAAGTCTTCCAGGAAAATGCTAGCTCTTCAATAGGTCTAACTCAAGATCTTCCAAGAAAATGCTATAAAACACTATTATTTTTGTAGACAAATTGTCTGCTGTACTTTAAAAGAACCAGTGATTACTAGATTGTCTCAATCCATCTGTCAATGGAGGAATCCAAAGGACCTGAGCAAAAGACATCTCTCCATTAATGAGGTGTGAAGTAAAGTTCTAAAATCCACCAGAATTTAGGAAGGACATGTTTGCTCTAGAGTGCTTTGCCTTTTGAGAAGTGTGCTTGTTAATGAATAGCAGCTTAATGGTGAAGCTGATACTAATTCAGAATTAATATCTGAGGTAGGTTTAACAAGGGATAAAAATCAGCTGTTTATGTACTAAACCTGGGACATCATATCAGATGCATCTCTGTGTTTTAGGCAGCTAATGACTTTTTCCATCAAATATGGAGATGTATTCGTTTGTGAAGCAGTTTTGTGTCATGTGGAAATCTGAAAAAAGAAATCTTGCTGATTTGAAGGAAGAAATATGGAAAGTAGCAGCACTGAAAAGGCTATAGATATGATTTTGCAGAGTGACAGATTAATGAGTTCTAGGTGTCATACGTAGGAGTATCCCATGTTTTGTTTTAACTACTTACTTCTAAAGGGAGTGTGTCAGGGAAGCTATTTTCCTGTATTTTCCCTGGAAAGTGAGGAAGGCAGGCAATACATCTGATTAGCCCCTTAAGGAAAATAAGTGTTTGAAGGAGCATTCATTACAGGACTTGAAAAAATTGTTTTTCAGAAAATAAGTTTGAAGGAGCATTCATTACAGGACTTGAAAAAATTGTTTTTCAGATAATTGCCTTTGATGAGCTTCGGACAGACTTCAAGAGCCCCATCGACCAGTGCAACCCAGCCCATGCAGTGAGTACAGCCTGGGGGCTGGGGCTGCTCCAGAAACAGGGAGCACAGAGCTCTTGGTGAAGGATGAGTGTGGAAATGAACTGGGAGTCTCTTGTGAAGTCAGCTGTGGTTTGGAAAATTGATTTATTGGGCCAGCCTGAGGAAGCCAGATGGCAATTTTTATGTTAATGGCTTTCCTCTTTGCTGAAGGAGGCAGGAAAGTAATTTGGAAATTCAAAAGCTGAAGAATGTCATATGATGCTAATGCTTTCTTTTTCACCTTTTCATTCTGTGACACAAGTTTTCCTTTTTTGAAACGCTTTGCTTTCTCTGTGTTCGAGCATGGGATGACTACTTTCTCCCATACTATCTGTATCAATGAGCCAAAAATTGAAAGAATTTGTTAAGAGCTGCGTGCCTGGACCTCTCTGTCCCATGGCAGGCCTCTGGACTCTCCTATGCTTTAGGAGTAAATATAATTTTCTGCTGCATCTGCTATAGGAGAGCATTAAGTGCCTAGGATTGTAAACTCAGTTGTAACTAATGAACCAGAAAGGCAGCCTAGATTTAAGCATATCCAAATTCCTCTGTTAATTAAAGCTGTAATCTAGGATGATTTAGCTGACTACAGCTGCACGTGCCAGTTTGTACCACCAGAACTGAGAGCAGAACTTGGCTCCCCATCACCTCACTGGGAATGACAATGATTGTGGCAGGTGCTAAATTTGATCTCTACAGTAGAGTATCAGGTTGTTGAATTGCCTACAACTGATAACCAGATGCAGTAGCTTGTACTTTGCCACTTAACCTTGTTTCATAACTCAGCTGAGGACATCTACTGCTTAGACCACTGATGATTTTAAGCATGAATATTTATAAATAAATATATAAATTTATAATCCTAGAATATATGTATATATTTTTTACTATTCACTAACACATAATCAAAGAATGAGAAGAAAAGAAGGAAATTGTATGAAGAAATCCTATAGAGCACATCAATGGATGTCATCTGGTTTTGAATTTACTGGAAGTAATCTGATTTTCAATCCACTTTATCTGTTTTTACTTCCTATCTGAGAACTGAATTGATATGTACCAAATTCTAGTAAATTGTTCACTTCTAAAAAGTTGGGATGCTCTCTGGAGATAATCTCATTGTATTTTAAAATGGTAATGGAATTGGTCTCCACGATAAAAAAAAAATTAACAAGACTCCAAAAAGAGGCACAGTATTTTTCTGGGGCCTATCGAGTTGCCACTGCCTCTGTGGCTCTCAATGGCTTAAACTTGGGGACAGAAAAGGAAAAAAATCTATTTATTTGGAGATTAGAATTAAATTTGCCACAACCTTGAGTTTTAAAACATTTGAAAAGCAAAAGGCTTAGGGAGAGTTGGCTTCTCACATTGTTATAGTACATTACCTGTTTAAAAACATTAATTGTTTGGAATATTTTGCCATATCTAAATGAAAATATCAGGTAATCTTCTGAGGACAGCAAGCCCACTCTGCCTTTTGCAGTGTAACTAACACTAAGTAGAATCTTTCAGCCAAGGGGCTATGCAGTGAAATTTGGTTTTGCTGGTTAGCTTCTCATTATGAGCCATTGAAAAGAAAGCCTGGCTTTGATTTATCTTCTTTCTTTGAGTTGAGTTTTTAGAACATCTTTTGAGTCACAATGCTTAATTACAGTGATTCTCAGTATTTTTGAATGCATCTGTTGTTTCAAGTGGCATTTCTAGGCCATTTCAGATATTTTTCACTAACGTGTATTGTATTTGCTAGGTGCCCCAATGAAGGAAGGAATGATGAATCTGACTCCATGTTCTCAGAAGGCTAATTTGTTATTTTATGGTGTTATATTAAAGAATACTAAACTATACTAAAGTATACAGAAAGAATACTTACAGAAGGCTAAAGAGATAATAATGAAAACTCGTGACTCTTTCCAGAGTCCTTACACAGCTTGGCCCCAATTGGCCAAAGAGTGAAAACAACTCACAGCAGAATCCAATTAAACAATCACCTGTGGGTAAACAATCTCCAAACACATTCCACATGAGCACAACACAGGAGAAGCAAATGAGATAAGAATTGTTTTCCTTTTCTCTGAGGCTTCTCAGCTTCCCAGGAGCAAAATCCTGGGTGAAGGGATTTTTCAGAAAATGTGACAGTAACAAATGTGTTAAATTCTAGTATCACATGTTCAGGCACCATCTTAGTGATAGAGAAAGAGCTGCCATGCAAACTTCATTGTTTTTCCCACTCAGATTTATCTTGAAGCCAGAGGTTGGGTGCCTGAAAATGCAAGACCAGGTCTCTGTGGTATCAACTGGCACAATTGGATAGAGCCACAAATGATGACTTAAAAGAGTTGCAGCCTCTGGCTGAAGGCTAACACAGGCTTGAATCCCCAGCTGATATTGTTACACCCAGTAACAAATGAGAAATAACTCACTGGGGCTTAGAAATGGGAAAATCATTGTGTGTGCAAGCAGTGGATAAGAAGTGAGTGCTGTCAATCCAGATTAATAACATGTGCTGCTTCACTGCAGCCATTAATTAAAACATTGACCCCTTGTAATTGTGATATATTGTCTTCATTTGTGACACCAGCTAATCTCCTGCCTTTCCCCCACTTTCTCTTGACAGAGGGAGAGGCTGAGGAATATTGAGCGGATTTGCTTCCTCCTGCGAAAGGTGAGTGTGAACCAGCCAAGGATTTGTGAAGTTTATGAGAATTAAAGCCCTCCTGTGGCAATGTGCATTTATTTTCTCTTTGATCCTCATACTCTGTTGATGGAAAGCTGGATTCAACTGAGAAGTGAATGTCAGGATGACCTTGTAAGGACAGAGCAAGACAAATTGTAAAAGGTTGACATAATAGAGGTTGTCTGGATAAAACTGAACTTCAGAACATCAGGCCATTTATTTGGGAACGAGCTTTTCCAAGGTAGCAAGTCCTTTTACAGCTGGAGCTTCTTTTATAGTCCTATTAAACTGCTGTTACAGTTGTAGTACAGGCTTTAAAAATACCCTTTCTTTTTGAACACTGGCTTAGTATTTGACATGCTGAACATTTTTATTAGTTACCTATCTAATGTTCAAGGTTTCTGGTTGATGGAATAGAAAAGTTGGTAACAGGATGTATTTCAGCTTGACACAGGTGAGATGCTGAGTGCCTCAGCTTCTGAGACATTTGAAGGAGCTGATAGATTGTGGGTTACCTATTTGTGGCTTCAAATAGGATTTTCATAAGCAATCTTTGTTTTTCCTGTGTCCCATTGAAGTAAAAATAATCATGGTTCCAAACAATTTTATTCTGTGTTCAAGGTTCTATACATTTTGTTCTGCAGAGTGGTAACAAAGCCACCTAAATCCTGCATTTTTCCTTAAAAAGGTCATCACTGCAGTGGGGACTGCTGAACACAACCTAATCAAGCTAAGACCTAAATTCAGATAGGGTTTTAACAAACATCATCCTCAGAGGTTTTGGGAAAGCCAGTGCTGGGGATTATCACTGTGAGCTGACCCAAAGGCATAGCTGTGCCTCCATGCAGAACCTCTGGGCTGCCATCCTCTGCTCAGTCAGAACCTGAGTCCTGTCTGTTTGGCACCCCTGTGAGCATGTGGCTGCTCAGAGCCACATCTGAGTACTTCCTGAGCCTGGTTATGCCACGTCGGATACAAAAAGAAAGGAAAATACTTATTACCAATAGCTTTCCTCTTTATCAAACAGGCAGCCAGCCAGTCTCAAGCTGTGTCCCAGTTTCTTGGTCATAAAGCAACTGTTGAGTGGTAATGGTTTAATATATGTGAGCCCCATGGGAATGCCTTGCCTGCATCAATGTTTAATTTTTATTGCACATTGGCCTTGTTGTGAACGGCAAAATGGAGCGTTTTGGCTAATTGCAGACTCTGTATTCATGAGGGATTGGCTTGCTTCTGTTTCACTTAAATGGTTTGTTAATTCAGCCTCTTCTTCAAAGTTCTTTGGGGAGACATTTGTTTTAATTGAGAGATTATATGCAAGAAGAGGAGGGTGCAATAACTACAGAGATTTGTAGCCTTCAAATCTGACAACCGCTAAAAGCAGCTGTGTTTTATGTAGCATAGAGGAAAATTGAGGAAAAACAGTAAAGAATTGAGTGCCAGCTATATTGATACAGGAAAATAGCTGTTAGGATTCTTCCAGCAAGTACTAAATATATCCTTCAATATTGTGTGGCTTTAGGGTCTGTTTCTATTTTTATGAAACAACAGCATACCTGTTTTGAAGTCAGGAAGTTCTTTTATGGGGCATTGAAAACTGTGGTATCTTGCTATTTTGACATTAGAACTTAATGTTTAAGAGCTGATGTAAATTTGTTGTTTTAAAGAGGTTAGAGGTGGGCTATAAAAGTATGTTCAATTTCATTATTCACTGGTTTTAGAAGGGGTCCTTGGGAATTGTTAAATATGTCATAGAAATCTGATTCCAGTGAGCAAAGACCTTTTTAACGATGTGTTTTTGGGTTTATATCCAAAACACTTGGAGAAGTTTATTGGGAAACTGTGACCAGGTGTGTGATATTTCACCAGCTATTATATATACTTCTGTAACTTATTTACATTTTCTAAAATAGAATGGAGGATGCATTCCCAACTGTTTTGCAACCAGGCATTTTCTGATGTTTGGTTTGGGTAAAATGTTTCTGTATCACTAAAACAAGCAGGGTTTGTGTGAAGCAGGTCTGTATGGTGCTGGCATGTAGACGTGCAGGAACACATGGCTCCTTGTTTCTACAGTGCTGTAGGATTGTATAAACCTAAATTTTCTTGTTACTGAATAATGATTGATTCATCATAATGAAGATATGAACATTTTACAGCCACAGTCAGGTCTCTCCTGCCCTGAAGTAAATGAGAAGAAGGCTTCTTTTCTGAACCCAGCACCATGTGAGGTCCTCTCAGGCTGCAGGTGCCTGACTTTATTCAGTGCTGTGGGGTTTTCTGGGATGGATCTGTGTTCCTGTGGAATATCCCATCATGCAGACATTGGTTCCATACAAGTGTCAGGTGATTTGCACAGGACACACCGGGGTGAGCAAATGCTGTGGAGGCTTTTTTCCCTCTCAAGTGCCTTTGATTCCCTAAGGATGTGATTCCATGGCTCCCTGCAGTGCTGTCCAGAGGACACAAGCTGGTGGTGGGTGGGAGCAGAGCAGTACAGAGCAGCTCAGACTTCTTGGGCTTATCAGCCCTGCTGAGGGGTGCCTGTGATGGGCCAAGATGTGCCTGTGAGGTCTACCATGACTTTTACAGTCAAATATTTTGGGAGGGCTGTTAAAATATGTTCAGGTACTGATGACAGCGATATTATTTAATTGCAATTGCAGTTGTATTTCAAGAAATCCACCTAACAGCTTGATTCCTTATTTTTTAATTCCTAATTGATACTTACGTTAACACTAAGGACAATTAGGAATTTCCTAGATTAAAATACAGTCAAATTCATTAATCAAGCACTGCAATATTATTACTTTACCTTGGAGGAAATTTAAATTAAATTTTGATTAGGTTATGCATCATAATTTTGGAATTAATTCAATAAATCCTCACTAAGGAGGAGAGTTGATTGAACTTCTTGCTCAGTGAACACATTTCAGGTTTCAGTTTGCTCATGCCAGACACTGCTCAACAATTTAAGTAACTCTCCTCCAATTATCAGCAAATATTTGTTTTTAAAGCCCATTAAGCTAAAGTAAGAATGATTTCTGAACATCAGAACTGGAACTTAGTGTGGAGGGAGTTGAGGTTGATCAGACTTTTACTCATTTTTCTGATGTAGTGCGGCATTTTAGTTAAGTTATGCCTAAAATTCCTAAAACTGCAAGTGTAAGAAAATACTGTACCAGAGCTCAATCCTTTTTCTTGATTTTATTTGGGGTTTTTTGGCTTTTACGAATCCTTAAGGGATGATGGGAAGAGAGTAAATTCAGCAAGAATTCTAACCACAGGCAAGGTGACATTAATCTCAAAGATGTTCCAGATGAACTTGAACTGTCTTGAAGAATACAAACACACAGACAAAAGCCCCTGCAGGGACTGGGTTTGAATAACCCAGCTCAGCCAGTTCAGCACTCCAGTACCAGCAGTAGTATAGTAGATAGTGAATCAGGAGCTGGGGTGTTTTAAACAAAACAAAAAAACCCAATTCACCTAACATATTTGAAGCAAATTTTGATGTTTTAGTCAGGTGGTTGGGCAGTGCCAGTGCTTGGTCTGGTCTTGTGCCTCTGTCAGTGTGGTTTCCAGTGGAGCTGGATCTGCTGTGGTAATGGTGGAAATTTATTCTGTATTCAGTAGTTCTGGTGTTTACAAGGTTCAATTCTGGTTTTTACCACTTTGCAAAAGTAAAATAAATGTCTATCTTAAATTTATATTTCATTTTATATGTCCTAATACCTGTGATAGTTATGTTTTACTGTATTTACAGGTTTTGGTAAATAACCAAAACCCACAGGACCTCAAAGAGCGATTGTAGAATTGCCATTCTGTTCACACTGAGACAGTGTAAATAAAATGTAAAACCTAGTGAGTGTAATACAGAATTCCAGACACACGCTGTCTGTACAGTTTTGTTTCAGTACATTTCAACATTTACATATTCTGTAAAAAAAGTTAAAATTACTCCCATGTGTTCAAGTAACAGTAATCCAGAGCAAGCAGGAGCTTGAAGGGTTTTGGGCTAACACCACAGGTTCAGCTGTGGACAGAGCATTCTGAGGATGGAGATAAGGCTTGGTCCTGTGTCTGTGTCATGCCTGTTTGTCAGCAGTGAAAGCAGACTCCCAAAGTTTGGACAAAACCCCACAATATGTTCAGTGAAACATTACTGAGCTCCTTGGATCAGCTAACAGGGAAAGTTAGCTTTTAGGCTTTTCCTTAATAGCAGAAGAGGATTATTTGAGTACAGAGCTTCTTTTCCTTTAAAGGTCTCTAAATATGTGAAATCAACCTTGTTAAAAAGCTCTGTCGTTCCTTTTTTACCCTTGTCCAGTTGACTTTTTTTTTCTCCCATATTTTGGCTGGAGGAGACTGACCAATATGCACTGGAGTAATTGCCATATAAAATATATTTTTTTTTTTACTTGGACCTTGATAGGCTCCAGACCTTCACCTTCCAGTGGCTCCTAGCATTCCCTGCTTGCAGCAGCTCCAGTGGCCACTCTCCTTTGAGGAGTGTCAGGTGTCCCAGTAGCTCATTTCAACGACTGATCACATTCTTTTCTTCTTGATAAATTTGCTAGTTATTGCCAGGATCACTCTCTGTGTTGTTCTGCCTCATGGTCACTGGCAAGCCTGAGATAATGTGATGGATTTTAAGAGTGTGGGTTTGGGTCTGTGTGTTGATTGCTTCATCATGCATTTAGGGATTTATGGATGTGTAGCATTCTTTTACCCAGTCTGCAGGCTGATGGTCATTAGCAGAGCCCTTCTGTAAGCCTATATCATGGCTCATTAAAATGCTTAATGTGAGCTTATATAAGCAAATTTAGCAAATGTGATGCATAATCACAAGGAATTTTGAAAGTGGTGTATAACCATCCATATTGTAAGAAGGAATCACACTTTCTCCCTGGGGCTGAGAAATCTCCTCTAAGTGGAAACTCCAGCAGCAAGACAATTAGTTTGTTGTGAAACTGGGAATAGCAGCA